AATGACACTGTCTTCCGACGAATTGTCGATAAAATTCCCGATAATATTTCTGTTTCTTTAATTGTTAATTAAAAACATTTAAGTCTTTTTGAGAAGTCCTAAAGAAAGGATTTATAAATTAAAATTATTATGCGTTAATTATCATATAGCACTTCGTGCTTTTGTCTGCACATCTTCGGATCCATTTCAAGCATTTTTCTAGATTAGTTTTGACTTAGGGAACACAATGAATCTTCCTCTATTTAACCTGGCTGTGTAGCGCTCATCTGCTTTACAAGTGCCCCAGCAACACCATCTCAACTTCACCCTCTGATCCGACTTTGTTAACATTTTTTGTGGGACAACATGACTGCCATTACGTGTCCTTTATTCTGATTGGATGACCCCGCGCGCGCGAATGACACGTTTGATTTGTCGGAACTATGACCTAAGTCTGGACGTAATTCGTCTATATCGTAGCCCTAAAAGACTCTTCATCAAGACAATGTAAAAGCCTTTTTTTTTGCAATTCGATTGTTTACAAGTTTTTTCGTGAAACCATAGTTTTTCGCTTTGGATCCCTGTGGTTTTGGGCTTTCTTATATTTTTTGCCAGAGGCCGGTTCTCTAATTTTATTTGCACATGAATAATTCGAAAGTTCTAGGCTCTACAATAGCTGCTTGTTTTAGACTATAAAGACCTAAAAGCTACAAACGTTTTAAGCGTACTTTCAAATAATGTAAGACGGCCAAATTTGGAAGGAAAGCCGAGAAAAGCGAGTGTATGTTTCTAAGCCAAAGCTTTGGTTTGATGATATGTTATGTTGTATTTAGTGTTTTTCCTTTCTTTTGTTTTTGTTTGTTTTCTAATAATAGATAGGATGTGAATTTGACTGGAGTTCTTATCATTAAGGTGAGCATCTGGACTTACTAGTTTTAATGTAATTTCAAGAAAACTCCGAAAACGTCAAAGTCCATCTAGATGATAGCTCACATTAATTATCAAATTTAGGTTTTATGCATATGAATACGTACAATACGTGCTTGATTAGCATCGTCGTAACACTATATTATTGACAGTTCGTGAGCTTGGGGTGTGCCTTAAGTTCAGCTTTTAAAACAATCCGTTTTGACGCTAACCTTTCATAATCTTGTAGCCTGAGTTTCGTACAGCGTTTACTCTTAAATACCGCTTTAGAAAAAGAACAATAGGAAAAA